CCTGAGCAAAGCTGGCTTAAGTTTGAATGCTCTATGGGGACGTGCCTTGGCTGCATGTTTTGCCGTCACTGGCAGAAGCATGGTGGGATGTTGGACCGTTTCGTAGGCCATTCGTCACTTACATGAGTTGTCCTACTACAGTGAGTTCAAGTCCTCAACTGAATACAAATGGACAAAAAAATAGCAATTTAAGGGTTTGTTGTGCTCCAGATGTCTATGCTTAGTCCATAGTTTTTTTCTCAGCGATTCAGAGGAGTGTGTAGATAAAATCAAACTATGCCGCAATTGCAATCGTTCTCGTATACGTGTCAAACACAATACACCGTATTCAGATTTTGCGGTGTTTTGTATAGTCAGTAAACTTGATGTTTCTCTTGTTGGTTGCTCCGTTAAAAACATGTTAACCCGGAAGGATCGGACCGATAGTTCGGTTGATAATTACCACAATCTCTCGGGACATGTTGCCTCATACTGGACGGGAGAACATATGAGGTGGTTCTAAACTTACTGGCAGGATATTTTTCTCCTAAGGACGTTTTGATTTCAGTAGGCCACTCATTTCGGCTTGATTTGGGTGCTCACAGTCAGTTGCGTGTGGCGATGAGGCCTTGTTGTTCGGATTCGACACTGAATGATCAGGTATGTGGCCAAAGAGCGGATTTAATTGTTCACTGCATCTTACTGGTCTTATCTTACTCCCAAAGATCGGTTCTTCAGCGCGCGAAAGATACCATAGGGTTTTCTACTGACCGGAAGCACGGTAGTTAGAACGGCATTAGTGCCCTAGAGGGTTCACGGTCAATATTAATGGCGTCTGTAGCGTAGTGATTTCAGTTGCAACAATTGTATACGTTAGACGTATGTGCCCAGTTAGCATGGACAGTTGGATGGTTCCATCGTTGCAATGATACACTTTTCGACGCAACTTGGATGAGGTAGCCTGCTGCACTTTTAGTTTTAGGTTATCATGATTATTCAACGGAGACAGGTTTAATGTTAAAGGATCTACGGCCTGTTGATCGGCTACTGTTCGACTCTTTAGACGGTTCGAGGTGCTTTTCTGGAAACACCAAACAGAGGTAGTGTCTTACATCTGCGTTGAGGTGCAGCCTGATCAAGGATTCTATGTGAATCAAGACTTTTATGGTGCCATTAACTCGCACCGACACACTTCAGACACTGCCATCTTCAAGGCAACTAATTTCCAAAGTCAAATGAGCTTTCACATGCTGCCTTTGCTTGGGTTCATGGTTGTTTCCAATTCGAATTTCAGCACGAATCTTTGTCTTGCGTCGATTGATCAGCTGCATGTCATATTTATGAAGGTGAGTGCTTTGCCTTTGTTCCTAAGTCTGAATGATGTATCTGACCAACATGTGGATCAGAAATCCCAATTATGGGAATGGAGATGATAAAAACGTTCTCTGGGTAGTCGTCATATTCACTTGTTTGGACGTATCCGATGAGCGAGATGGCTCAGTTGTTAGAGCGCGAATTTACTGCCCGGAAGGTCCGTGGTTCGAACGGGTCCTATGCATCTCGACTTTCCCTGTCTAGGCTTGGGCAACCTGACAATATCCCAGCCCTCGTGCTTCCTTCGGGTGACATGGCAACTAGGCACTGAAATGATGGTGCAGCCGAACAATTTATTTTTCATTCCATACACCTATTTTCGGAGTACCTGCTTCATATCATGCACGAGTAGTTGTGTGGGGGAAAGGGATGGAGGAACCTGTGGTGATTTGAGAGGATTGAAGGTAGTCGCTATCACCTAGCTTCGGTACCAAGCGTTTCCAAGATCAGTGCATTGATCTCACCACGGACGTGAAATATGGTGGATATTTGAGAAGAAAATTCGGTGGGTCTTATCGTCTACGAAAACGGATGCGGAGGAAACAAACTAAAGGAGGTCATCGACTAATATGGATAAAGAAAAATCCTCAGAGAAACCTCCGTTAACCTTGTTGTTTTGAAGACACCTTCAAGATGTGTATGAATCTAGCGGTTCATCAAAGTTTTCAACCCATTTCTTTGAGTTAGAATATAGTCCGTCCATTGACAACTCTGTTGTCAGATCATGTGCCATACTCGATCGAAGGCCTTCGAGATATAAGGACCCCTGTTTACTCTCATCGAGAATATCTAGGGCAGACGACTATTTGTTTGATATGCACGCCTATAGTTCTCTGATACTTAAACTTATATTGCAATCGCTCAGGAGGCTTTCATTGTCTTGGTGATGTTAGAGTTATTTGACCGGACGAAGTAGGGATGGTGGAGAGTAGACGGAGGTGCTGTGATGACGCTTGTCAAATCTTCAGGAAATGGCGAATTCGGGCTGCAGATCTGAAAGGCCAACATGGCCGAATTTCCACAAGGTAGGAACGACTGAGTGGTATGTTTAGCAATGGCACACGACGCACAGACAATAGCGACAAATGAGTCCACCTGTTCGCTTGCTAAGGTGTAATTGTTCAGCACGGTATTTCCATATAAAATGCGCTGCTTTTCAACAAGAGACCACCATGGGGACTAAATTACGCCGCGATTTGCATAGGTTGAAGAACTGTCCCGCATCCAAGCAAATTGGACTACGATGTCCTTGGCTCCGCGATGGTTACCCCAATAAAACCATTGCCTTTTGGGTCAGGCTTTTGAGTCTAAGGCTAGATTCGGGGTACCGGAACGAAACATTTCCCCATTGTCTTGTGGGACAAATTTTTAAGTTAAAAGTTCAAGGCGGGCTACCGCAATCAAACCCTCTTGACCTGGGCAACCGACAATTACCGTTCATTTTGAGGCTGTCTGCCACATCCCCTCTCCATCCATCTGATGGCTGACTGAGGTTTACTTAACTGCTGGTGCCCTAACTATTGTTCCGTATCTAAACTTCGACCCAGGCTAATGAACAAAAATACTAGAAGCAGAAGGTCTTGTCCACGATGAAATTCTTCATTTTTCTGTTCTCTGTCACATAGGGCAACAGGAGTCTCTTACTGAAACGTTGCTTCCCATTATTGCCCAAGTTGATCGTGTCTCCGAGTCACGCACACAATACTCCAATTAAATCAAGCATTTCAGTCTGTTCCGAATGCATACGAATGTCTCACACCTTCTTAGGGAATTGGGTTATTCCGATGCATTTGGTATCTATGGCGTGGGAGTTGCACTCAGTCCCAGGGTTGAGAGCGCCTTGCTGGACTGGATTCCAATGATCAGTTGTCTGCGTTGTGTGTTGTGTCGGCAAATACCCCGAATGACTGCAGTGCTGAGATTAAGAAAGGTGGGTTTTATCGAGATCGGCCATGACTGCTTCAGTTAGTAGTAACTGACGATTTATTCGCACGATTGTTAGGTAAGCTGACCCCCAACTCATCGCGTAGAAGAACCTAACGAGCCTAAATGGATATTGGTATCAGCCCTTTGTCATCAACGTTAATCCAGCATGAGATACCATTACCCCAACGCCATAAGGCACCAAGCTTAGGAGGTCTACACCCTGCATTTTTTAAAGGTTGTGAAGCTCCGGTGAACAGATTGACATCTTTTTGGAAACACCATACTGGTGGAATGGAGCACCCAACCGTGATCTCAATACTAAAAATGGTGAAAGTACGTTGTGGCATCAACCTGGTTGTCATGGCATCCGAGGTGCTCTCTGGCATTATTTTGAACTGGTTGGTCGATTGTTGGGAGAGAATAATGCATTAAAATCAAGCCGGATTTCATCTGGGCTGAGGACTGATAGGCTATACCATTACCGTGAGACGCGTTCTCGAGTGACGTCACTCTTTCAGATGTCCAACGCTAATCGTGTTTATTGATTTGAATGCTCTAATATAAAGACTGTCGGTCGTCAGAAATAGTGTTGCCTGATGGTTGAAAATGTTCATCCCATATGGAGGGGTGTATATAAACTCCTGTAGGTGGTTACAAGTACACCACGTTAAGGCTATCTTCTAACCATTTTTCTTGAACCTTGTTATTGATAAACTGCTTGAAACATCTCTACCTGTGAAACTTCGTGGATTGAAATGCTCCCGGGAAGTTAGCTCGAAGACATTTAATACACGGTTGATGCTACTCCCCTTGATTAGGATCCTTGGAGCAAGCTACTTGACGAGGTCGGCGAACAGAACAGCGGTCACCTGATTAACTACCATGAAGACATAGGTTATTTTTAATAACCCGAATAATTCTGTCCTATGGTTTGATGCGCGATCCATATCTGAATAGTATTAGGGGCTGCTTCAAGGCTCGGTTTGACTAAACCCAAATCTCGTGCTTGTAGACGTGATGGATAAATTTATTCACCTGGGTTATTGTATACATCCCTGTGGACTGGCTGGACATCAAATCATTGCTAGAATCTGGAAGTTCGTGGCACCTTTTGCCAGCCTCCAACACATTTGACGTTAGTTTGTCTGTTGGGGTAGAGTATACACTGGTGGTGCGCTATCCATATTGCTTGGTGGGTCAGCAGTTTGTCTTTCATGTGCAAAGAAGGGCAGACCGCACATGACTGGCAAGCATGTGTATGGTTGCCCTGGCTCAGCTGAAGACGCGCATGGTCGTTTGGGACTTAAAATGGGATAATGAGAGCGACAGAACTCTGCATAATCCCTTTTCAACCTCAGATCGAACGGTCTTCGCACTTGCTAACCCACAAAAGTTCACAAAGTCCCTAAATGACACTCATGGGGAATCACTGATGACCTAAATTAACATCATCTTCTTTTCCCCAACCCGCAGTTCATAAGTCTTTGTCCTCTACACCGACGAACAACAACCTTTGGCATTCTACGCCGTTTCTGTTTTCTGGTTAAAGATCTCGCTGCTTGGTTTTCTTGTTGCCACAAAACTCGGCCAACCTAATAACTCACTCGTTTAGCCCTACAAACGTGTTCACTAATTACTGCACTGATTATTCACCAAAATTTCTATTCATTCACCAGTTTCCGTTTCATTGTCACATGTACAGATGTGTGACACTCATGCGTAGGCGCAGATGCTGACTCAATAGTTATTGTGAAGGACGATGTGTTGTCAACGAAGGTAACATCTTACCCTGGCTCAGACCAATATATGGGAAGGGTGAAAACCATCGACAGAGTGAACAGGCATCAACCAAGTTAAAAATTGTTAGCACAAGGTCGAAATATTCGTCAGGACTTACACGGTGTTTGCGAGTCATGCGAAGATAAGATGTGATCCCGCTCTGTGAGTCCCAGTTGCTATACAGAACCTTTCTGAATACAAAGTTGAGATTTTGTTTTCTAACAACATTAGAGGTAGCTAATTTCATAGAACTAGTTTCTTCGGCAGCCTTGATTAACTTCGCACATAGGTTTACAGGCCGTTGGTACGTTGATACAAGATGCCAAATACCATGTAAGTTCTAGTGAATATTTTGATCCTTTTTCTAAAGACCTCTATCTTGGTTGATACCGATTCACTGTGTATATTGGTTTTGTGTCCTGCTTATTTGTATGAGGCAACTAAAGAGATACAGTTGGGTGTGCTATGTCGTTCTCGATGGGACAATTAGACAAGGCTAGTGTGCTCAAATGGTCCTCAGTTTTGATATTCTTCAACCGAATGTACAACACAAAGTCTGCCCTGGATCCAGTGGGACCGATATTCAGATACTTTTCTGTGATATGGTACTATCTTCACTTAACATATTTTCAGCTTGCTATTCGAATAAGAATTTTTAATGAAGATTCTGGGACTACCTCTACTCAATGGGCGTCAAGCTGAGGAAACCGTTTTCCAACGAATTTTCATCAACCTTGTGGGTAGCACATACCAAGGTGTGTACAACATGCTTGTCTGAAGTTACTCTCTCTGCTAACTCCGCACTGAGAACAGACCGCCACTTCCCTAATTGCTTATTAGGTTTTCGCCCCTTTTTGCGAGAATTCTTTTTGACACAGATGTTTTGTTGTCCCTTCCAGGTTTTCACACTGCCATCTGTCCGTGCCTTGAAGTTCTGCTGCATTTCTACTTCCCTGTTATGTGTCGTTTTGCTTCTCATTACGTTCCTCCGTCGTGACTTGGCTGGTCATCGGTATTTTAAAGTAGCTTATTTGAACCCATGGACAGAATCACGTACGGTCATAACATCTCAGCCGTCGCTTCCTCGGATCCTTCCTCTTGATGTGGTGAGTTTATTCAATCACCCAAGGCCTGTAAAGCCTAGAGCATTGATTTAGTTTTCTTCTACTTGTATTTCCCATAGATGTAGTCACACTGTAAAATTGTCAGTATATGCCCTATTTTACGAAGCCCAGTGCCAGGTTTTCGTCAGTTACTTTTTCGCACTCTTCAAATCAAATTCGCTTTCGTCGACGTGATACACCTGGATGCTCAATCAACTGTCCTCAATTTCGAATACCGATGAACAGATACACATAAAGTTGCTGCCTGGAATCCACAGTTATTGATGCCGAAAATTTATCATGTTATACTTCGGGGAGTTGGGTCAGTTATAGCTAATCTAGTGAGCATATGGCCCACCTATGGGGCCCACAGATGTCATTCTCTTATATGTAGAATTCACTTTTTAATGAGGATTCGGTTATTCCTGAAAAGCAACCCACTGTGTGTTCTGTCCTGTTTGGGACTTATTCCTGGGGTGGGTCTAACCGGACGAGGATGACCACGGTTAGGTCTACAACAATAATACTTCTATCGTCACGTGATCATTTCTTAACTTAATGAGGTTATCTCGTTTCGGACGGAATTTATTCGCCAAAACCAACTGTGTGCGCGAGCACTAGCACACATGAACATCACTGGTCGCTCAATCATCGGTAATGTTTTTCATATCTCTAGCCAATATCATCAAGCTAGACCAGTGCATTTGTACGCAATTTCAGCTTCCTCGCTGCGGTCACGTTGCGCAGCTAAACAAAACGGTCATAAGGGCATTTGGCAACTCGGAAGGATATAATGAGTAATTTTACGGACGTTTTGTCTTATTCATGTGTTTTGTAGGAGGTTTAGATCATCCGACCACAGTAGCAGACAACCAGTGTAAGCAAATCTTCATATCAGATTGTGTATCCTATAATAAGTTGCCGGTATAATTCGGCAGTGCTATGCAGTGGTCAGTGGTTTAGTGATTCTTGAAATGATTCGATTCGAGTAACTTGATAATCTGGAAGCCTATTCCTATCATGAGACCCTTCTGGCCGCTTGATTTCTATTTTCACCGTTGCTTGATCTTGTAAACTTTGTCGACTACTTTGTAGTACCACTTAAAATGCTGTTTCGGCCGTCTGTTTAGTCTCACTGATGTTATTTTACGATTTTTTATTCTATGTTGTCTCTGTATTCGCAGCCTTGCCCGGTTCCTCCTTCCAGTGATTCAGGTGAGTGGTTCATGCTGTTTTCCGTGATAGTTCTGTTCAGTTCGCTTTTTCGTGGTTTACGCTGTGGCATTTGTTCGTGTACATATGTTAATTTGGCTAGCTGAGTCGAATTGCCCTTAACCATTCATGAGTTGCAGTCGCAGTGTTCATCAATGACTGATGTGTGAAACTCTGCTAGCTTTACCTACGCTCATGAGAAAATAAAGCAGCAGTTTGTAGTAGTGTACAAAGATAGCTCTCTAGCACTGTTTCATTAACACGCGTTTCAGTTTGGCCGTTCTCGCCATATGATTGCAGTAGAAATGTTGATACTGAAGAACAAGTTGCTATCCAGGGATTAATGAATTTGAAACCAACGACACTGGTGGGCTCTCCAGCCCTACAAACTATCCATGCTTTTTGCTTTGATGTTGTCCCAGATGGCGTAACTGCATCGGTTTAAAGGGCGTACGCTTTCATTTACTCGGTTATACGATACATTAGTTACCATTCTTGTCGTGAGTGTTATCCGGAAGTCTGAAGCCAGATGCTTCCCAACAATCGATGAAGCACGATTTTTGGTAATACTGTCAGTTCTGCTGATGAATGCTATTGTCCAGTTGTGTGACCTGATTTTACCTGAAACTGCAACGTAATTTAAGGCATACTGACACTCCGCGCGTGCTGTAGCTAATCAAATATTACTAGAAGGGAAAGAGCGGTAAACCCTGTTGCTACCAAAGGATGGGAAACGTTCGAATGGTGATGTAAATGCTTGACGATGAATAGGCTCTGATATAAAACTCACTCAGTCTTGTGCTTTCAGCTGGTATGCATCTTGTTTGTAGCATTCACTTCACAGCAGTTTATTCCTAACGCTGCACCTCCCAAATGGGGACCCTTTCTCCCTTTCTCGTTGGACTTTTTACGCCCATAGTAGAGTAGTGGTTGCTAGAGTGACTTTCACTACCAGCATTGCCCTCAAATGATAAGCACAGTAAAGTAAATGTGTGCCATGTCGGCATAAGCTGGTCGATCAGCAGAACGGAGGTGTTTACTCACTATCCATTCAGGATCTGGACTCGTCGTTAATTCCTTCATGACTGCCAACGGAATGTGTTGTTCCGTTATTGCGCATAACTCTTGATTTGCATCGCAACGTGAGCAGACGAGCTGATTATTGTTGCAGAATTTATGAGTTTTGGTTGGCAGCTGATGATTGGTGGTTTGATATCGGGAAGCCAAGATAACAAATTAAAATTCACGGTAAAGGTCAGTGCACAGCTTTAATATGGAAAATACATTCCGAGTCTTCCACAGTGTTCTCTGTTACCAGCTAAGACTGACCAGAGTCCGATTTTCGACGGTTGTCTGAATGGTCTTCATTAGGCTGCGTGCACCTGCTGTGGTCGCAGGAACTAGTTGTACGAAAAATAAAACTTTTCCATTCCACCTGCCTAATTACATGGCCACGAACTGGTGATTTCACCTACCCTCGTTTGTTTCAGGTCAAATGATGACGATGATATTCATTGGTTAGCACCCTAACCGGTTTAGAAACTTCGCCTGTAGTTCAGATTCGTATCCACCTTACATGTTTACTGTTATGATGGCATGATTGTCAAGCAAACACAGCGACCGTAGTTTCGTAAGATTGTGATAATTGAGTGGTTGGTCTTTGACTCATTTTAGGTCTTTGAATCAGCTTTGCTATGTGTTGCGCTTTCGTCGACTAAACCGGTGTAATGCCTTCCGGATCGCACATCGACATGCTCACGAGCTACAAAGTTCCCGTCCGCACCACTCAGAAAGTTTGGTGGATGTAGTCTCCCGTGGTAGGAACGGACAACAAGCCGCAAGATATTTTGGGATAGATTGCGGGTTCAGTCCTATTAACGGGAACCTTTCGACTTGGTGAAACAGTACGTCAGCAGTGCCTATGACATGAAGCAGACCACTGGATTTGGATTGACGGCATATAACTTTTCCATGGTTACGATTTCCCTTGGCGAGGAACTCTTTCTTTTGACGAAGCCTCGCTCTGGGGTTGCTTCTTCGAGAAAAGATTGTCTTTGGAGAAAATCCTGTCACCAAAATAGTCACTCCAATGGAAGTGCGCCCACGTAAGCAGTTAAACTGAACCCGGGGAAAATTAATAACCCCTGCTTCAACCCAAACACGAACCTAATGGGGTGACTAATTCTGGCCGTATTTTTGAGCGACTATATCGTGCATCAGTATCAGCTCGTTTTAGGATTGCCTCGGACGGCAGCTACCAGGACAGCGACTGACAGATCTGCTCGAATCGTGCCCTCGTGCTGTTTCCACCGACAGAGTATATTATGAATGGGTGAACCGCTTTTTTGAAGACCCCAGAATTTCGTGCATCGACTAATTTTAACTCCTTTCCACAATGCATTCAAATTTATGAAAACCCGACATCGAAATTCTTTCGCCTATTTGTTTATTAATAGGGCCGAACCTAAGTGATGAAATGCAGTAACTTGTATCTTATTTAATTTGGAGGTCGCACAAGCACGTCTGCATAGACAGGACAAGGTTTGGTCTTCATGGAATTGTTTTACGGTACAAATATGTCAGTCAGATTGTACAGTATGGGTTCCAACTACATACCAGAGTTTCTTTGTAATACCCACTGATGCGACAAATCGACTGCTAATTCAAAGGGTAGAAGTGACAAAGTTGATCTTATAAAAGTAAACCTAAACTCTATGTAGAATCGCTGTTTCAAAATGCTCCATGCCAATGGCAGTGAAGCATATCCTTTTGATTTTGAGCTCCATTCCCGTCATAAATTTGCGATTCTGTTACGTGGATGAACTCTGAATCTTCCTCTGCCGGTGACTGTTTCGCATTTCCACCACAAGTGTGAACCAGAGACGAGAAAACTTGCATTGGTTTTGGGCGTCTTTGAGCGTTAAATAGCCAGGCTATCATTGGGTGAGCATCCGATAGAAAGCTCTGTGGTTGGAGTCCACACAAGTGTGAACCAGAGACGAGAAAACTTGAATTGGTTTTGGGCGCCTTTGAGCGTTAAATAGCCAGGCTACCACTGGGTGAGCATCTGACAGAAACCTCTGTGGTTGGAGTCCATTCAGAGCATTTTTATTACTTTCGTCAAAGCTCAGTTCATTCAGCATCATCTCAATTTCTGTGCTCCCTTCGAGCCGCCCGACCAAATAGTGCACAAAGAGTTTGCAATGTGCGCTTATGTATTCTCAGCAGTCGGGGCTGAGCGTTTTTGCCTAACTATTCCGCGGATGGACCATTCCCACATCAAACGTGCCTGGCACTTGAGACACTTTCATGGAGCCCACCATTGTTTATGTTGTATGTTATGAAAACAAAGGTTCGCCATAAGATACCGACTGCTAAATCCAATCATTCTGATGGATTGGGCTTCGTAACCACTCACGCTTCTGAGAGACTGATTTTCAGTCGGCCGGTTCGCCGTACAAGACTAGAGAGTAGCGACAAGATCAGTGGTGAAATGATCGACTTGAGCATAAATGTGAACCCATTTTGGCATACTTCAGGAATTCAAAGTTGCACCTTTCTCCACTCTTACACAGTCTTCAACGAAGAAATTAGATTCCAGCAACGTTTATGTTCCTTTTAAACACCCGCCTTAAGCGTACCAGCGTTGAAGTGCAGATGTTCGACTTTCCTAGCGAACATTGGAGAAACGGAAGGCATTTCGGCGAATCAGTTAATTTGATGTGCAAAGGATTTCGCAGTCAACTTAACACCCCACATCGTTCGTAATTCTCGTTGGCAAAATGCTCACCCTTGCGAACACAAATTACCTCCCTTGTGTTTTTACTCCAATGTGTTGTATCACAATTTCACGCTTTCCATCATTCTTTTATTCTATCTCAGTTGGAGCAATCACAGTTTCTCTTGAACCGCCATCCTGGGACAGTCTACTCATAAAATACGTGGAGTCAGAATCGAATCGCTCATTGGCAAACCTTGTTACCCCGCTGGTGCCATCAAGTACGGTCGCCGTCACACGGACTTCCTCGGATTCGGGGATCGTTTATTCTCTCGGTGTCTGGTCTCCCATAGAATGTAGTCCCAAACAAACGGTGGCTGTCATTCTGCCATACCGTGCACGGGATGAACATCTTCGTATTTTTCTCAATCATATGCATGGTTTTTTTCGGCATCAGCGGTTGCGCTACACTATTTTTGTAATTGAACAGGTGAGGACTTATTTTTTTGCCCGTTTCATAATGGTTGACTGCGCTAGCCGTCAACTAAGAGATGAGCGTTTTGAATTTACTTGTTTTTGATTGGTTCTGCTTAGACTTAGCATGTCCTCGGCTGCCGTTCTTTTCGAATTGATTGGGCCGCTCCTCTGCTTCCTTTTTTCCTCTGTTAGAGATGAGGCACAGAACTCCTTGCCACACAAGACGTCATACAGGTTTGTTATGGCTAACTTCCACAACACACCGAATCTGGATGGCAATCTGCGTAGTTGTAATCCCTAAACACTTGATTTATATATTTTTATACGGGAAATTCCCAAGGCCGTCTCATGGGTGAAGCGATTTCGTTTATCGGTCATCGCGGGCATCGCAGTCACTCCAAGAAGTTGCAAGTGGAACTTGTAGTACCCACAGTAAATTCAACTGCGAATTTTTGTTTTTGAACCCCGATTCATCAAACCACTTGAGCTGCTACGCTTACCTAAGTAAAATCCATCCTGGAAAGTTGAGAAATCGTCGTACGGATACTCCGTCCTTGTTGGAAATCACTGTCAGTGTGCATTCCGTACCTAAGAATCAATATCGACTACCTAATTGGACTTCGCTATGTTGTAGTGCAACGTATGCATTCCTCTATCTGACTTTTCATCAAATAACTTGCGAATTTCGGTTTGACGATGTGACCGCGTGAGAACCCACCGCTCATAGCGTCTTCTTTGAAACTAACACCTATAGGAAAACTCTGGTGCACCACTCCGTGTCCCTAGAAGTCGAGGTCCGGACCTTCTCAACCACATGTTGAGCAATATGACCACTTTGACATTTCTATAAGGTTTTTATCGTTTTACCATTTTAGTAGTCACCTTTGTGTTCCTTGAATTTTTGGTTAAAAAATTAGTCCTCGTCTCCTCTATATTCACTGTATGCGTGTGTGTACTGAAGCTTCCGTCGACGCTGACACCCATTTTGCGACCGGCGAGAGTACTTTGGGTAGTCGCTTATCCTGCAGTATCGTACACGAGAAGTTTTTTTGCTAACCTTTGATTTACCGATAGGCCTCAACCAAATCCTTCCTTGTTTTTTTTACAAACCACGCACCGCATTTTGTGAAACTACCTGCTTATTGTTCTTCGGAATGTGGGTTTGAGGGACCTTACGTTTTCATGCAGTATGTGTATTTGCTACGGGATGCTCGATTGAGTTGAAAAACCGAGCATGCGAATACCTGTTACTCATCTGAGATGCTGATAATTCAGTCCATCTGTCAGTAGGCGATTTATTCTACCTCCTGTGGATGAGCCTTTAAAAGGTAACATTATATCATTGACGGTGTGTTTGGGACCACTCCAGTTTGTTCAGTCCGGTCTTGCGGCCACTTTTGTTGCCATCTTGGCTATGGGACTCTGATTCAACTCCGCATCCGACCAGAATCCACTGTATGAAGCCGGTACTATATTTGTGACAGTATTGTGAATTCCTGAACACATGCGTTTCCGTGTTTTGTTGTTTTCGAGGAACATCATGCAGTTTGAGTGGTTCGGACACAAGTGACTGTATCGAATTGATTCGGCTAGCGTATAATTAGTAAGCTGACGGACACCTGACCATGACGCGTATTCTAGCCTCACTTCTCTGGCTTAATACCGCATGACTTTCACCCGAATATATTACTATTGTTTGAGGTTTTCAATACGTCAATTCTGCACTTGTTGTGACGAAGTTATGGTGTAAGCCGTGCATTAAGTTGTCAGTTTTGTTATTGCTACGTGGAATTTCGACCGCGTTAAATGTGACTGTTGATACCTCTCCGAATGCGAGAATCGCCGTTTTTTAGTGCACAACAGATCGATCGAGTTTGTTTTTTAGTGTCGTTACGCCGCTGAACGCAATTGGAGTTAGCTTTATGCAAATATGGGTGAGCTAGGCGTCATCTATCGAAACGTTTCTAGTCATACATGTACTAATAAACCACTTTACGACAAGCCGGACTTCAGCTTAGATTCGTGGTTCCGGCAGTAGCGAGTAATGGTCAAACACTGGGGCATCTCAACAAACTGCTTCACCCAACAACAACATACAAATTCGTAGCTCACTGCGAATTCGCCGAAAATAACAGGTCGGTTGATTTCAGCCTAAATGGTGCGCTTCGAGATCCAGTCCTTTCCTCGGTGCGACTTAGTCTCCTAGGTGACTAGCATCATCATCATGTATCATCATACAAACTGTACGAGCCCATTGTGTACGAAAATTATCAAACAGTGCAGGATATCCATTGATTTATTGGCGGGTGGTGTCAATAGTGGTTGTCCCTTTTCCGGATGATCAAGGAAGATAGTGCCGTATTTTACAACGGGACCAATGGTCAGGTGGGGTCTGCTCGTAGGAGGGTATGTTCTGGCCCTGCTTTGTTCCCTGCCTCTGTTTCTCTGAAGGAATGGGAATCCTCTTTGCATGAGGTCCCTGTAGATTCCACTGGAGCGTAGTTAGCTTAGTGATCTCCGTGTCGGTCTTTTGAGTGCGTAGTCCACAGGTACTTCTTATGGTATTGGAAGCGCATGACGCGGAATCGAGTGAACTCAGTGCGTTTAAGTATTTTGTTACGACTTTTAAAGGGAGGGCCTTGTGCTACTTTCATAGAATATGGAGGGTTGAGGTTATTACATAGTCCAATGTGGATTATTTCAGTATTTTGTCAGTGGGCCCTCGGAAGCTGTCATTGAACATCTTTAATGTGCTGTTTGGAATCAACTATCGGTTTATATATGGCTACGATGGTGATGCTGAGTGATTAGCTCTTGAATATGGTCCGATTATTTTCTTCATCCATGTTCAATTTAGTCATTAAGGAGGTAATGAAGTGAACCCTGGAAGGTGTCCAAAACTCCGATGTTCAGATATCTCGGAGCGATAACGTTGTCTACCTGGAATATACGGACCCTTTGTTCTACATTTGAAAAAGAGCAGGAAGCGCAAGATTTACCAGAAAGGTTGGGCAGGGTCATCCAGTCCTCCAGCATGTGCGTAGCGTCCTAAAGTGCAGAGTCATGCTGAGGAAGTACAGTCTTTGAACATGCCTCCGAGAATTCAAGGAGTGTCACTGTAGTTTGTGGATTCGCATTCGCTCTGACGGTAGTGTGATAGGCTAAGTCAAGGCGCGAATCTCGAATGCCAGAATTGTGTTTGCCAATTTGTACCACTTCTGGCATCAAAAGGGCTGATCACTAGATCTCAAAGAATGCGTTTATGAGAATACGGTGCGGACTTTATTGTAGGGCTGCATGAATTAACTGATTCGTGCAAAAGATCTGAGACCTCTTCAAGTTTTTTTTATTACCGATGCTTCATAAATATAGTTGGAACCAGCGCATTCGGGAACGGGGTGATCAGAAGATGAGCTTTGGTGGAGCAGACGACACTTCCGTCAGAGAATATATCTAGCACTGCAAGCTAAGATGGCTGGGTCATGTTACTAATGCCAAGTCACCACCTAAAGAGACAAGCACTGATTCCGTTTCGTCCTCAGCCCCACCCGGTCCTTGTTCGAGAGTGCACAACCAAATGCGTACTGAAATACAGCAGTAAGCAGGGCTTTGTCTTGTCTGTTGAACTAGAGTTAATGGGTTGAGTTGAGTAGAGGCTATCCGTGCTTTCCGATGAACACTCACTCGTTATCTTGGATCTCTCAGCAAACTATTCTGTTTATTCGGTTCACTCTAAATTGTTCAGGTTAGCAACTACTCGTTTGAATGGGTTCATGTTTACCATGTATTCAAACGATAGGCATCTTTTCATTTGCACTAATCAGTATTCTTTGGGTTGTGTCAACACACTAGGGCTCTGTTCTTCACGGTGCCTCGTCCTGTTTGCTAGTTTAACCGCTTTCAGGTCATTTCGACTGTATGCGACCTGCTGGAACACGGTACTTTGAGCTAAGCGCTCACGTGGACGGAAAACGAGGGAAATTCGACTACTGCCCTTAGTGTAACCTGTTCGAATTCAAATGAGTTGCGTCTCGAGTGCAAAATGCTTTCGATCTCAGCGTGTCTCATTTGGTCCCAAGCACCGTTATCGTTCATGTTTATCTTTCAAGTTGCTTGTTGTCGCTGGGACAAGAGGTCGAAGTACTTTAGCGGGAATGTGCCAAATTTAAGGAATTGCTGTAGTAAAGTTCGAGATATACTTAAGAGAAGTGAAAAGGGTTTACGTTTGGAACTAGCTTGTCATCTCCGTTTTTCGCTGTGTTCAGTTGATTGCGTGGTAGGCGCTCAACTCAATGTCCCATACATAGTTGTTTTACCCATAATACTATCCGTCGCAATTTATCAGCATCAGGTCAGTGCTTGATCACTTTTTATTGTTCAGCTCCTGATTCAGCTGAATAATCTCATCAAGTTATGTTGTTTACTCATTGCTGCTTTGATTAAGTTCACTGTATACGACAGTTTATTTCGAACAGTTGGCCTCTATCTTTGTGTGCTGCTTGTTGTATCCGGTAGTTGTGGAACGCCCCGCTCCACAGCCATGTGAAAAATTGGTCAACTTGAGATATCCATCTTTCGGCTGAACACTGATGACGCTAAAAATGACTAGTTTACTGTTCTTGTGTCAAGCTGATACCATTTTTCCACTGGTTAAGGCGTGAGTCTACTGACTGGAACGTCCGTGGCTCGAATTCAACCCCGGCCACTCGACTGCTCCTGTCTAGGCTTTGAAAACCTGGTAATATCTCAACCCTCGTGCCTTTTTCGGGTGGCACGGTGGCTAGGCATTGAAAGAGTGTTTCAGCTGACCTGGAAGGGGGTAGCAAACTTAATCTGATTGGTTCACTTTGTCGACACGTATGTGGATGATCATGATTTGAAACCACTCTCAAACGCCTTATAATTAGTTGCTTCTCATGATGTGCCGTGGGCTATTTATTTTACTAATAATTGCACAAGTATGCTTTTTCTCAACTGAAATATACTTTCGTCTACCTGGGCAGGTTTGAAAACATGATGCCAGATGTAGAAGCACTGTGAGGCTAAGTTATCGAAAATTGCCTTTTCTTATTATTGAATTAGACGTGAGCTAACTGAACACGCTACTGAAGACCGTTTGCACTTTAACCACAAACTGTATGCACACAGATACGTTTTTGATGCAAATTTTCCGCGTGAGCCGCTTACGCATCAAGTTTCAACATTATATATATATATATATATATATATA